TTTAAAGTAGAGGAATGGAAGCTATGTGCAAAGTTAGAAACTTTTTGATTATTATTAATGTAAAGCCAGGTGGCTTCAAGTTGTTTTATTAATAGTGAATTGAAAATAATACTTCTATATCAAACTCTATTATATTTATCTACAGCACAAGTATACTCAATATTTTTAATTATATTAGTCTTATTATATAATGTTAATTATCTCTTAATGTATATAAGAATTCTGATTTTATTGCACATAATAGCCTTTTGAAATTAGATGTTTAACAATTTGCAAGTATATTAGTAGCTTGGTAGATATTATATGAGAAAAACTAAAAAAAATTTTATCAAAAAAAATTGAAATTATGCTTAATGAATAAATGAGTAATAGCATTCATTTTATTAGGTTGTTTGAAATATATCAAACTGTTCATAAATCTAGAAATTGTCTTGTTGGCATTTTTATCATTTGAGAATTGTATTACCTAAAATGCAGATGTGCATATTAGGTTTTTTAAAGACATTCTAGAATTATATAACAAAAATATTAAGAATATTCTTTTTATAATAAAAGATCAGAAATAAAATAGTTAGACCTAACATACAGAATAGGCTATGATATTTTTTACAACTATGAAAGTCAAGCTTAAAATGGTAAGTAACTCTGTAGAAGACATTACAAATATTATCTTTATTTAATATTTCAATTTTAATAAAGATAGACAAATGTTACAAGAAATTTTTAAAATATTACAATTTATTTTAAATACCAGAATCATTCATATTTAATAAATTTATTTAACATTTATATTATAATTCTTTTCTTATTCTAATTAAAATATTTACAAATTTAAAAAAAATAGAAATATATATTATGATAACAGATTTTAGATAGGATTTAGATAGAAATAATAAAAGAATAATAAAGTATTTACAACTGCAAAACATAAACTACTTATCTGACCTTAATAAAAGTGCAAGTGTTGTTTTGTAAAACCTTATGATTATTATTAAATTCTACCCCTAACAGAACCCATCCTTCCCAAGAATAAACTAAACCTGCAGTTGATTGTTCATCATAGTCATGTGCCCAGACCAAAAAAGATGAGTCCTGACCCCAATTCAACATAGCAAAAACCTAGTTGAGACAAAAAAATAAGATAGGAATTAGTTAAAAGAGTAGGTCAAAGAAAAAGACTCAAGAAAAAGAGATTAGTACTTACCTATGAATGATAAATCACTTACCAAATCTATACACCTTTCTTAAGACTACAAGCCATCTGATTGTTATATAAAGCCAACCTTTAATTAGAAACAGACTGCTAATTTAGAAGTTCTCAATACCCTATATAGCCTTCGTGGCTACTATGATACTGGAAATTGTAATATTGAATATCATAACTGATCATATAAAAATGCACAAAATGCAATAAGTTAGTAATGTGATCCAAAATCCATTAATTTGGATATCTGCTTCAAAATCCAATTCTTTACGGATAACAAATAGTCTGTTTTGGAGCCAATCTGTGTCAGATTTATCTGGATTATTTGACAAATATCTGTTATCTGACAAATATCCACTGACAAGTATACGTTATCTGTTAAAGTTTATATGCATGATGTCATATTTATTTATTAAATAATTAAATTGCTAATATTAAAATAAATCAACTTACAATCAACTTAAAATTACTTTGCTTCGATCTCTTATATGTATAATAATGCATGGAACTACTAAAAAAAAAAAGCACAAAACAACTAATAGCATCACTATTCAAGATTTTCAAGATGAAGCTTCTGTTGGTACAGTTTTTTAACTTGATCTATCAAATAGAAGTAGCTAGGTCTGGGAGTTTTTTTGTCTAAAAATCTGTAAAGAAGATGATGGATGATGGGGCAAATATGCCATTTGTAAGATTGAAATTTTAATTGGAGTAGAATATAGATGAACATATAGAACTAAATTTTCAATGAATAATCTTATTCAGCACCTATTGGCAGATTATGAAGTTACAAAAGATAATCTACATTCAAAAGAGGTTGCTATGTAATACAATTAAAATTATAATGTATATAAATTTAATATTTATTTAACAAATTTTGATTAAATAATAGCTGGCACATCTGTCACATTTAGCACTTTTGCCTGATCAAATAAAGAAAAAAATACAAAAAGAATTACAAAACATGCTTGTTGATTGGCTTGTTGCTGATTCATGACCATTAATTATTGTTTAGCATTCTTTATTTCGACAATTTATAAACAAATTAGATTCAGCATTTACTATTCCTGATGTTAAACTAGTTAAACAAATTATTCATTGTGCTTATAACTACTGTGTGCCACTATTACATGATCATCTTAAAGAAAATGCTATTAAAGTATCTTTAACAATAGATCTTTGGACTGCCAAAAATTAGCAAGAATTTCTTAGAGTCATGTGATTAAATATATATCAACAATTTCATTTGAATGAGGTGACTCTTACTATATAACATGTCCAGTACCCCCACACAGTCAATAATATTTATAAAACTGTAGAAAACATTATTCGATATTGGAACTTAATGGGCAAAGTATATTCTATTACCACTAACAATGCCTGAAATATAAAAAAATCAGTAGCCAAAATGAACGAAGTTTTATGACAAGGATGTAGTGCATATACATTACAGTTAGTAATTAGGAAGACTTTATTACCTATAAAAACATTAATAATTTGTGCAAAACATTTAATAGACTTTTTTTTATACCCAAAGCAATCAAAACAATTAGAAGAAATTCAAAAAAAAAATTCTCAAAAAGCAATTGTAGTAAGTCTTTATTTTAGTATACTGTATGATGTTTAAATTAATTAGTAAATTTTAAATTATGTCTATTTTATTTATATATTATACAATTTTTTTATTTTTTTTATACTGTATTTATAGGATGCTAAAGAGACAACAGATTATTTAATTAGTTGTATAGCTGATAGTGACTCATGATAGAATAGCTCATACTTAGCATGGACATGTTTAATACAAATTAAATCCTATATTAAACTTTTCATTATTCATCTTATGACTCATGAAAGTTCTGACGAATGTAAAAATGAAAAACAATTACAGGAAACTAATTTAACAGAACAAGAGTGGACTTTATTAAAAGACCTTTTACAGGTTCTTGGTCCATTTGCAGCAGCAACTCAATATTTGGGTAGTTCATACTATTCAATGCATAGCCTTATGCATCATGTTATTGAAAAATTAAAAGAAATTTTTAAACCAACAATTACTAATACAAATATATTTAATATTAAAAATGAAGAGGATGCATTTGATTATGATAAAGAACAAATTAATCAAGATAAAACTTTATTAAATAATCTAATTAATACTATCAGTTTGCTAAATGAAGTTAAAGAAAAAATATATACAACTCTTTGTCATTATTATCCAAATCTAGCATCTCAAGAATTAATATTTGCTTTATTGGATCCTCAACTCAAATTACTGGATTTTGTTAATATGATAAGTAAATCAGTTACTAAAAATATTCTTAAAAACTTATATAATAAAGAAAAGTCACTAAAAAATGAACAAACTTCAAGGTATAATTTATTATTATTATTATTATTATTATTATTATTATTTACATACTGTTATACAAATAAAGTGAATATGAAAATGAGGATTTATATTCAATAAACAACAATCAAACTGATAATTGTATAATTGGCAATGATCTACTCTATATATCATGCTTATTAAAGTCTTTGGAAAAGGATAATTTACAAGTAACAGATGAAGTTGAAGAGTATTTTAAGATACCAGAAATTAGTTTGCAAAAAGATCCCTTAATATGGTAGGATTTACATTCAAAAAAGTTTCCAATTTTATCTAAATTAGCAAAAATATACTTGGCAGTTCTAGCAACTTCAACTCCTAGTGAGCATTTGTTTAGTAATGCAGATAACTTATTATCATTAAAAAAAACCAAAATTATATCTAAGCTATTCAAAAGAATGATGTTTTTAAAGAGAAATGATAAGTATCAAAATATTCATCCTTCACAATAATATTTGAATAATTATATAGAATTTGCAAATTTGTTTTTTATAATAAATATATGTATTAAGAACTTGCTTTGTAATAAGTATTGTAAATTCACTTTGTAATAAATATATATATTATGAATTTGCTTTGTATTAAATATGTATACATATTGATATTCAAATTTGCTTTGTAATATATAACAACAATATGTATCAGTATTCAGATAAAATGAATATTCATCATTCATATAATAGATTTAATATCCTATCTGATCCTGGATAACAGATATCTTTTTAGAGGTAAATCCGAATCAGTAGGATTCAGATATTTGGATTGCATTACTACAATAAGTGCAATAAGTTACATTTAGGATCAGAAACAATATTTTGAACTCAGAAAGGTAGATAAAGAATAAGAGAAGGATGTGAGGATAAATTATATATTCTTAAAGATATTAAATAAATCACTATAAATAGTTTTAATTAGTTTTAAGAAATAATAAATGTAAAGTCATATTTGTGAGTGATGAATTTAGTATTATAAATAAAGGCCAAAATAGTTCTTAAGAGCAGTATGCTTCATTTGCTTTATTAAACAATAAATTCTAATACCCTACCAGATGTTGATTTTTCTAATTGCTTGACCAATTGGTGGACATATATTGGATTGTAAATGAAGTTGATCTGCAATGCTATATAGGCATGAGTATGTGTAAGCTTGGCATTGTTGTTTTGAGACTCTATGATTTGAATGTTGTATATTAGTATTACTAGTATTATTTCGGTATCTTGGTAGAATTTGGTTATATTTTTTCTAATTAGAAAATTCAATGCAATATGGTTTCCAAATTAGTTTATAGATTTGTTCATTAATGTGTAGAAGTGTTTGGATTACAATTTGTGAAGCTAATTGCAAAATTATATTAAAGTTGCAAATAACTTCAATAAGTGATTTAGGTATAAGTCCTTTAAGTGTAATGTCTATAAAATGTAGATTGTGTTGAAATAGTATGCAATCAAAGCATGGATGATGGCATATATTATGTAAAGGTTTTTGTTATTCGAAGTACTTTGTATATAATTTTGCCAATAAAAATACTTAAAATTTTATTAAAGA